CCCCTCCTCCCCATCAACCCTCACCCCTTCATTCATTCCCTGCCTCCTTCAATCCCTGGCCCCTCAATCCCACACTGACCCCCCTGACCCCATCAACCTCCACCCCCACCCTGGCCCCTTGCCCCAATCAACCTCCACCCCCCACATTGGCCCCCTCTGCCCCATCAACCCTCACCCACTCATTGATCCCCTGCCCCCTTTGCCCCCACACTGTCTTCTCTGCCCTGTGACGGGTTTCCCCCAGGGTGCCGCCTGGAACTGGGGTACCACTGAGCCCGCCTGACCCACCAGCCTGGGTTCACTTTACACTATACTGCTGTGCAGCCTGCCAAGCCCTCCCCCAGGCTTCAGCCTGCACTTTACTAGCACACACACAGGTAGGGACACACACACGCCGAAATCAGCTCTGCGTGGGAAGGCTCAGCTAAGGAACTGCCCAGTACTCAAGTGAACACCCCCCTCTTTGGGTTTACCCTCTAAATATACCGGCTTGCACCGCACAGAGATCTGTACAGCGTAAGCTCATGAAATTCGCCCCCTTCCTCAATGTGGAGAGGAATATACACCGCTTTATGCCCCAAGTATGATTTCCCCGCACTGGTTTTAGACCAAACAAAACCAAGTTTATTAACTACAAAAGATAGATTTTAAGTGATTATAAGGGATAGCAAATGGATCAAAGCAGATTACCTAGCAAATAAAACAAAAACACAAACTAAGCTTAATATACTAAAGAAATTGGATATGAGTAGCAAATTCTCACCCAAAGGGTATGTCTACACTTGCAGAGTTTTTGCGTTGTCAGTTTCACCGGTGATAGGGAACCAGTGAAAGTAAAGCGCTGGTTTGTGTACTCACTTAATTCCTCAGGCATCAGAGTGTTTACATTAGCAGCACTTCCATCGCCCCTCCCTGCTGTCTGGCTGCTTTCCCCGCCACATCTACAAGCAAAGGGAAAGGGAGTTTCAAACTTCCTGGGGCTTACAGGGGGAGGGGCAGACGTCCCTTTACCTGGTGTCAGAGCAGTGGAGATGCTGGCCAGAGTGGTCACTTTTGGAACTGTGGGATATCCTCTGGAGGCCAAAAAGTGTTTACACAGGTAGAACACCATCTCAGGGCCTGCAGTACCAGTACTTGGAGCTGGGATTAGGGTGTGATTTGGGGCAAGCATGACCCCCTCTCTCTCCGGTTCAGGGCCTGCGGTACCAGTACTTTGAGCTGGGGAAGAACACGGACCCGGAGCGGGAGAGTGACCCCCGTTTCCAGAGCGCGTTCACTGCCCATCCCGTGCTGGACGCTGTCCAGATGTACAGGTTGCACAAGCACTTTGCCCAGGTGGAGCTGGAGAGGACCTATCAGGAGATCCAGCAGCTCCAGGTGAGGCCTGGCACCGGGGGAGGGGAAGTGTAGAGGGGACGGGCCCAGAGCTCTGAGTCAGATGGGCAGGGAGCAGCCTGGCTACGGCTTGCGTCACCTTACCCCAGGGGGACGTCTCATTCAATCTCAATCTGCTTTACCTGCCTTAACGAGGCAGCCAGAGCACAGAATCACCACGGCCTGTGCCCTGGCGCAGGGGCCAGGCATCTTCCTTCACCCTCTGTGCTGGTGATCGACCCTGGCAGAGACGGTTCTGCCAGGAGAATGGGCCTGCCAGGGTGGCGGAGCATGCTCTCTGCGGGCAGTTACTCTTGTGGATCTGGGCTGGCCTGATCTCTGAGCTCAGCCTGGCACTATTGCCCGGCTCAAGTGCACCCACTGCTGACTGCCTTCCTCCTGCAGGGTTTCATCCATTTGTTTATTTTAAAGGCAGAAAGGATCCCTGTGATGGAGGTTATGCTCTGACCTCTGCATAACACAGGCCGAGAACGTCCTCGAAACAGTCCCTGGCTGAACTAGAGCAGATCTTCTAGGAATGTCTAGTTTTGATTTAAAAACTTCCGGTGCTAGGGAATTTTCCATGACCCTTGGTAAAGAGTTCCAGTGGGTAATTACTGTCACTTTAAAATGTGCACCTTATTTCTAGGCTGAATTTGTCTAGCTTCAACTTCCAGCCATTGGATCATGTTAGACCTTTCTCTGCTAGATAGAAGAACCTTCTACTATCAACTTTCTGTTCCCCGTGTAGGTACTTGTAGACATGATCAAGACACCCCTTAACCTTCTTTTTGTTAAGCTCCTTGAGTCTGTCACTATAAGGCAGGTCTTCCAATCTGTTAATCATTCTTGTGGCTCTTCTCTGAACCCTCTCCAATTTATCAACACCCTTGAATTGTGAACAGCAGAATAGGACACAGGATTCCAGCAGCCATTGCACCAGTGCCGAATACAGAGGTAATATAATACCCCTTCTCCTACTTGATATTCTAAGGATGGCATTAGCCCCTTTGGCCACAGCATTTCACTGGGAGCTCATGTTCAGCTGGTTATCCACCACAACCCGCTGCTTCCCCAGATACAATCCCCCATTCTGTAAGTATGGCTACGTTCTTTGTTCTTAGATGTATGTCTTTGCATTTGGCCGTACTAAAAACGCATTGTTTGCTTGCTCCCAGCTTACCAAGAAATCCAGGTCATTCTGTATTGATGATTTGTCTCTCTTCTTTATTTATTTTCCCCCCAGTCTCGGTCATCTGCAAACTTTTTCAGTGATTTTGTTTTTTCAAAGCCATTGATAAACATGCTAAATAGCATAGGGCCATAAACTGTTCCCTGCAGGACCCCATTAGAAACACGCCGGCTCAATGATGATTTCCCATTTACAATTACATTTTGACCTAGTAGCCAGTCTTTAATCCGTTTAATGTGTGGCCATGTTGATTTTTTTTTTGTATTTTTCTAGTTTATTAATTGAGTTGTCACGCGGTGCCAAATCAAACCCCTTACAGGACCGTGTAGATGTAATATATTTACTAACAGTTATCAACCAAGCTTGTAATCTCATAAAAAAAAATCGTTATTCTGACAAGATCTATTTTCCATAAACCCATGTTGATTGGCATTAATTACATTATCTTCTTTTAATTCTTTATTAATGGAGTCCCGTTTCAACTGTCCCATTATTTTGCCTAGGGCTGATGTCAGACAGATAGGCCTATAATTCCTCAGGTCATCCCGTTTACCCTTTTTGAATATTAACACAATAGCTTTCTGCCAGTCCTCCGAAAATTCCCCAGGGTTCCATGACTCGTTAAAAATCAACATTAATGGTCTGGAGACTTTCTGTGCTAGCTCTTCTAAAACTCTTGAAGGCAGGTTATCCAGACCTGCTGTTTTAAAAATGTCTGAATTTAATAGTTGCTGTTTAACATCTCCAGAGTTACTCTTGGAATGGAAAGTATTTGATCATCATGTGACATGACGACATCATCTGGCTTTTTTCCACCTCCCGAACAGAAATATTTATTGAACACTTCAGCTTTTTCGCATTATCATTGACAGTTCTACCATTTGCATCTAGTCATGGACCAATTCCATGGGTAGGGTTCCTTTGGCTCTTGATATACTTTAAACCCCCTCCTTTTTATTGTCTGTAACTCTGCTGGGCGGGTGCCACCTGCGCTGAGCCGGCTGGGACGGAGCCGCAAGTCACTCTGGTAACAGGAATCCCGACTGGGTGTCCGTCTGTACCGAAGCCAGAGCTCTTGGCCCTGGCCCCTGACCTTCCTGGTGCCGGTGAATCCCCACGGCCATGTGGAGACCCCTCTGAGTGTCCTTGTTGTTAGTGTTTGACGTGTAACAAATCCTGGAGCCCCGAGTAAGTACCTGGGGACTGGAGAAAAGCCAACATGGCACCAGCCTGCGAGTGTGTGTGGCTGAATCACAGGTTTCGATGATAAAGGTAACTGTGTTACCATGATATACCGAGATGCTGTAAGGCATGTTTTAGCCCCACATGGTGTTTTTGATTAAACAAAAAAACTCAGCACTCCACAAAATGAATGCAGCCTGTCTGAAATGGATTAAAAACCGGTGAACAGATCTCCAGAAGTCATTCTAAATGGGAAATTGTCATCCGCTGGGGGTCTGTCTATTGGGGTCCTGCAGGGCTCTGTTCTTGGCCCAGTGCTATTCAATATCTTTTATCAGTGAAGTGGAATTCAAATAAAATCACTGCTGGTAAAATCTGCAAATGACACAAATTGGTTGAGTTGTAAATAAGGATGGGGACAGGTCTGTGACACAGGCTGGCCTGGATCATGAACAACATATGTTTTAACACCACCAAATGCGAGGTCATACACCTAGGAAAAAAGACTGTAGGTCACACTTACGAGATGGGGACTGTATCCTGGACACATTGAACAGGATTTAGAGGTCACGGTAGGTAACCAATTGAACGTGAGTGCCCAGTGCAGTGCTGTAGGTAAATGGGCGAACGTGATCCCTAGCTGTATAAGCAGGGGAATGCCAGGCGGAAGCAAGGAGGTGATATTCCCTCTGTGTATGGGCGTTAGACAGCAGGACTGCCTACTGTGTCCAGTTCTGGTGTCAACCCTTCAAACAGAGCATTGGAAAAACGGGATCTCGGAAAAGAGCTACAGAAGAGATTTGAGACCTGAAAAGCTGCCTGACAGTGAGAGACTAAGGCAGCTCAATCCATTCAGTTCATCCAAGAGAAGGCTATGAAGTGCCTTGGGCACACGCACTGTACAAGTACTGACGCAGGTAGATTTCTCCTGACCGAGGTCTCTAATCCAGCAGACAAGGCAGAGCGAGACCCAGTGGCTGGAGCTGAAGTGAGACCCGTTCAGAGTAGAAATGAGGCACAGATGTTTAACGGGGCGGGGAATTAACCACTGGCACAGGTCACCTAGGGACCAGACTGAGTTCTAAAGGTCCTGCCCCAGCTCAGCCAGGAGTGGGAGGCTGGATGCAGGAGTTGCTGAGGAGGATCTCAAACTGGGAGAGGGGGTTGGACCCTTCTGGCCTGTCTGTGAATTTGTAAACGTTTTATGATGGTAGCGCTCACGGGCCCCGTCGTGCCGGGTGGGCATGGTCAGAGCCAGTCCCTGCCCTGAAGGGCTCAGCCTGAAGACCCAGCCAAGGGGGGGAGGCGGGACGGCCGAGGGGGGGAGGCGGGAGCCGGGCCCGGGACGGCAGATGAGCTGGGGGGATTGGCCAACCAGCAGGGGTCACTGTAGGGTTTGTGTAACTTTGGGGAGAGCCAGCTGAGGAATAGTCGCAGCTCCTTATTGGAAGGGTTGGTGCTGCCATCTGGTGGGGGAATGTGTCCTTGCATAGCTAACAGACTGCGTCCCCATCCCCTGGAGTGACAAGGTGGGGGAGGTCATATCTTTTATTGGACCAACTTCGTCTGGCGAGAGAGACGCTTTCGAGCCACACAGAACTCCCCTAGAAACTCTGGGATTTGGTAGGAAACTGGGGATGACTGTGTGCCTGGGAGGAGCTAGGCCAAGCCGTGGAGGGTTGGTGTGGGGGACTGGAGGGTGTCTTGTTCCTGCTTCAACTTCCCTCCCTCCTCGTGCAGCTGGAGATCCAGAACACCAGCAGCCTGTCTGCGGACGGAGACCACGGCGCCATATGGCCTGTGGGCATCACACCCCCGTTCCAGCCCAAGACGCGCTTCGAGGTTCTGCGCTGGGACTACTTCACGGAGGAGCAGTTGTACTCGTGCGTGGATGGTTCCCCCAAGTGCGAGCTGCATGGCGTGGACATGGCTGACGTGGCCGACGTGGTAGCCATGGCCATGGAGGAGCTGAACCGCAAGTACCAGCCCGTGCTGCACATCCGCAAGCAGCAGCTGGTGAACGGGTACCGGCGCTTCGACCCCACACGGGGCATGGAGTACACGCTGGACTTGCAGGTGGAGGTGGTGACGCAGAAGGGGCACAGCCGCTCGGTCATCAAGCGCGTGCACCTGGTACGGCCCCTCAGCGAGGTGGAGATCATCCCCATGCCCTACGTGACTGAGGCCAGCCGCATCAACGTCATCCTGCCGCTGACGGCGCATGACCGGGACCACGCTAGCCACTTCCTGGAGGTGTACGCGGCGGCCGCCTTCGAGAGCAGCGAGAACGCCGTGCTCACCTTCCTCTTCATCTACGACCCCTTCGAGGCCCAGCAGGTGGCACAGAACGACATCTTCGCCCCGGTCAAGGCCAGGATCACAGAGTACGAGCGCAAGTACGCCGAGTTGAAGATCCCCTGGATCAGCGTCAAGACAGACGCGCCCTCCCAGATCAAGGTCATGGACATCATCTCCAAGAAGCACCCCGTGGACACGCTTTTCTTCGTGGCCAGCGTGGACACTGAGGTTACCACTGACTTCCTGAACCGCTGCCGCATGAACACCATCAACAGCTGGCAGGTCTTCTTCCCCATCCACTTCCAGGGCTACAACCCGGCCATCGCCTACCACAACCAGGCGCCGCCCGCCACCCTGGATCTGATGCGGGACGCTGGGCGCTTTGACCGAGACATCTTCCACGAGGCCTGCTTCTACAATGCCGACTACATGGCTGCGCGCACCCGCATGGCGGGCGACGTGCAGGAGAACGAAGACATCTTGGAGACCCTGGACATCTACGACATGTTCATCAAGTACTCCAGCCTGCACGTCTTCCGAGCCATGGAGCCCGCCCTCCTGCAGCGCTACCGGCAGCACGTCTGCAACCCCCGCCTCAGCGAGGAGATCTACCACCGCTGCATGCAGAGCAACCTAGAGGGGCTGGGCTCCCGCTCTCAGCTGGCCATGGTGCTCTTCGAGCAGGAGCAGGGCAACAGCACCTGAGCTGCAGGAGGGGCTGGCTCGCCCAGCCTCCCCGCGGCCTGCCCCACCTGCTCTGCTGGCTCTGGTTGTTCTCCCCCTCCTGGTGGTGCAGCGGGCACTCTGCTGGCCGGAGGGGAAGCTCCCTGCAGACAATGGGCTGGATGGGGGCGGGGGAGTGTGGGGGATGGGCTCAGACCATCAGCTCTAGACTAGTGCTGGCACTGGCTGGGCTGGGGCACTGATAGGGGACCTGTGATCTCCTGGGGCTGGGGAGACTCACCTGGGAGCTGGTTAGAGGATGGGGCTGGGAGCCAGGCCGCCTGGGTTCTGATCCCAGCTCTGCTCTGGACCCTGTCTGGTCTCAGTGTCTCCCTCTCCCCTCTTTTCATGGGGCAGTGATACTGAGCAGCCCCTGGGAGGGGGGTTCATGGGGGCTGGCACTTGCACTTGTCCTGACTCTGGGCTGGGAAGGCCCCCAGGGCAGGTCCAGGATTTGCTCCAAAGCTTCTGCTCCATGAAATGCCCTGGAAGGCTGAGAGTGGCTGGTGGAGGAGGCTGGAGACTGCAGTGGGGCTGGGGTCTCTCCCTGTCTCCTCCATACAGCGCATCGGCCATGTTGGGGCTGCCACCTCCTGGAGCAGCGTGGACCCTCTGCTCCTGTGTGCACAGGATGCCTGGCCCTGCCCCGCAGCGTGCAGCTTTGCCGGGCTTTGCGTGCTGGTGAGTGTGGGGCGTTGATGTGGGTAGAGTGACTTGTGGGGACAAGGCTGGCCATGCGACTCCATCCCGCAGCGAGGTGCAGCACCCCCTGTCTCTTGCCCTCTGCCCCATGGACTCCGCTGGCTCCGGTGGGCTGAGGCTCCCCTCCCCCTCCTGCGGCTGGCAGGGTGGGGGGCTCCGGCCCTGGAGCACGTGGCTTTAAAGAGTAATTGCCTGGCTTTGCCCCCCAGGTGCTGGCCACTTGGGGTTGGAGGCTCTGAGAGCCCCCTGTTTGGTACGTTGTGGGGTGCTCCTGCCCTGTCACTCAGCCCCGCACCCACGGAGTCCCTGGGGTGCTGCAGGCCCGATCCAGGGCTCTGTGTCCCAGGGAGCTCAGGGTGCCGGCTCCTGGTTGAGTTCCTGAAAGCGCAGCGTGGGCTCTGGGCAGCTGGAACCTGCTGCTGTAGAGCAGGGGGGAGGCTGGAGACCGGGGTGGGGGGAGGGTTTCTCTGGTACGTATGGAGCAATAAGGCATTAATGTCAGTGCAGCTCTGGCAATAACCCGCTGGCCGAAGCACTCCAGGCTTTGGGGGGAGGGGGAAGCCTACAGGGTTCGGGCCCCAGGACGTGTGGGTGCAGGGGAGACCGGGGGTCCCTCTATTCATTGACTGTGTGCTGCTCCCCATGGGAACCATGACCCAGGCCGGTTTGGCCTCAGCAGTATTTTAACAGGACGGGAGGAGGCTGCAGTCCTCGGACGAGAGCTTCCCATGGGAGGTTTGAGCTGACTCTGCCGCTGACCCAGCCGGCCTGACGCAGCTGCCCCTGCTGGTGCTGTCAGCCTCGGGGCTCTCCATGCCGCTGCTCGCGGGGCTGCATAAGGGGACAGGGGGTCCTGTCCCCATTGTCCGCAGGCAGAGCCCTGTGCAGGGACACGTCCGCTGGGATCGGGCCCTTCTCCGAGCAGGCATTGACTTCTGGCTTCTCCGAGGAACTGTGCTCTCTGCACTGAGCTCGCCGGGTGGCCGTGCCCGGGGAGTGGGCAGTGCCCGGGGCTGACCCCAGTCAGTGCTGCTGGGGCTGCCAGAAAAAACGGGACAGATCGGCTGCAATGTGAGTCTCCAAGGAAAAAGTGACTGAGGGCCAGACTCGGCTCCAGGTTTATATTTAATGGCAGGGTTGGGTTATTGTGTTTACACTGCAATAAAACGGAGAGGACGAACTAGTCTGGCTGCGAATTCTTCCATGTGGGAGGGGTGGGCGGGGCAGCAGGCACCAAAGGAGGGGAGAGATGGAGTTGTACCTGGGTGTCAGAGCTGGGCTCAGAGGGGGGAGCAGGGCGAGGAAGGGGGGCCAGCGCCTGGTGTGGGAGGGTCCCAGGGCAGGGCTGTCCCTCCTTTGCTGTGCAGCTGGTGGGTGGCTGTGGCTGTGCAGGGAGGTCGGGCGCTGATGCCCCTGTGTGCTGCCCTGGCGGGGGAGCCTTGGGGCTCTGCAGCAGAGCCGGGGTGAGGCTGCTGCGCTCTGCCTGCTGGGGAGCTCTGGGTGCATTCATCCCAAAGCACCTTCCTGCCCTAGTTCTTAGCAAGACACCAGCCTGCCCACCACAGCCCCCTCCATCCCTGGCTGTGAGAAGGGGGCCTGTGCTTACCTAGAAAAGACTACGGCCTTTAACAAAATCTAACGGGTTATTTGCAGCATGCGAGGAGCTGTGGCAGGGAGAACCCATCGCCAGGCAGGATGAGGAAATGCACGAACACTTACACCCGAGGCAGAAAGCCAGTTCTCCCCTGGCTACAGACGGCTCCGTAAGAGCCACCGCAGCAGCTGTGCTGTGCCGCAGGGAAGCTCTCTGGGGGAAAACGGCAAAGTGGCAACTTGAACTGTGGTGCCTGTTTTCACTCTGGATTTAGAATCATGCACCGATGCTCAGTGTGGGAGTGCGACGTGCTGGCCACGCTGACCTAGAGCTCCCTGCCCACCATCCGTCGTGTGGGGCACTGCTTGCTAATCTCCCTGCAGGGGGAAAGCACCTCAGCCCCCAGGGAAGAGAGGCTCCTCTCCCCTGTGCCCCGTCCCCTCCCTCTCTACCTCGGGGTACTCATCAACGGCAGGACTCTGCAGTGGGGGAGAAAGAACGGAGCCGGCTGCATGGTAACGTAGACGTCCTCCCTCGTATCAAGTAGGGCAGTGACGTTGCCCTGGCATGAGCCCGCTGGTGACAGGGACCTGAGGACACTGATTTCACGGCCTGTGTGGAAATAGCGGCATTAGCGGAATACCGCAGCTTTTTCCAATGCGGGGGGAGGTGGAAGTGCACATCCCTGCTTTTGCACCCGTGCTGAGGCAGTGGCTGCTCGTGGGACGTCACTGGGCTGGTCCTGTCCTGGAGGGGACAGGGAGGGGCAATCGGGTCCTGTCCTGGGGTGTGGGGGGCTGAACCCCACCTGGATGAGCAGCGAGAGCCAGCGCAGTGCGTACATCAGCAACATGGCGCCGGATGGGCCAGCCCGGGGCAGGGATCAGGGCCTGGCTCACCCTGCGCCCAGCTCCCACTCAGGCTGCTGCTTCCTGCCCAGCTGGGGGGGTTGGGGGGTGGCTGACGGCACAGAGATTCGGGGCCTGGCCTGGCTCACACCAGCGTCTGCAGGCCGGGGAGACACTGGAGCGCTGGCTGTGAGGAGCTGAGACCCTGCAGAGACAATGGGCACCCGCTGACCAGTGACGAACACCGAGCGGCAGGGGCAGCTGTGGTGTGAACACGGCAAGGCTGGGTCGGGAGAACAAGGAGGTGAGGGGTGTCTGTGCTGAGAACTGGGCTCACAGACACGGCAGCTCACTGAGGGCACAAAGCCAACGGGAACGTACATTTCTGAAGCCCTGTTAGGTTATTTTTAGCCAAGTTGCAGGTTTTTGTGCTTAATGCTAATGGGCTGCTCATCCTCTGGGTGCTTTTGTGTGTGTGCTTCAATTGTGCCCTGCCCCCACCCAGGGTGACTGACTGATGCCCCCACCCCTTTGCCACTCTCTAACCCAGGGGTCGGCAACCTATGGCACGCGTGCCAAAGACGGCACACGAGCCGATTTTTAATGGCACGCTGCTGCCTGCCGGGGTCCTGCTCAGCCCGTTGCCGAACCCCGTGCCATTAAAAATCCTGCCCCCCCCCGCCCGCTCTTCTCCCCCCCCCCCCCCCCCGCCTACCGCTCTCTCTGGCGGGGGCAGGGGGCAGAAGCAAGCTTGGGCCTGCCGGGTGCTGCTGTAGGGCAGGCTCTGCCGCCAGCCAAGCTTCCCCCTCCCCCGCCTCTTCCCCCAGCGTGCTGCATCGAGCCCCGTCTCCCCCTCCCCCCCGCCGCCGATGGCCCTTGCGAGGGAGGGGGGAAGAGGAGCCCCAGCGCCCTCGCTGCTCAGACCGGGAAGGAGGCGGGGAAGAGGCGGGGGAAGGAGGGTAGGAGCGGGGCGTATCCCTCCAGCCCCCTGCCATGAGCCGCTCAGAGGGCAGGGGGCTGGGAGCACCCCCCTGATCCCAGCCCACCCCCCCAGGCCTCTGCCCTGACCCCTGCACCCCCCTTGGACCCCAGCTCCCTGCATCCCCCCCATGACCCCATCCCTGACTCCTGCACCCTCCACACATCCCCAGCCCCCCCAAACCCCTCTTCCCTGACTCCTGCACTCCCCACACCCCCCTGCCCTGACTCCTGCACTCCCCACACATACCCAGCCCCCCCACACCCCATGCCCTGACTCTTGCAGCCCGCACATCCCCACCCTGAGCACCAGGTTCGCAGTGGGCTGAGTGGGGCCAGTGGCTGGGACCCCAGCTAGCAAGGGGCCGCCATCCAGAACCCCAGACCGGCAGTGGGCTGAGCCGCTTGGCCCACTCCCGGTCTGGGGTCCCGGCCCCCGGCCCTGCTCGGCCCTGCTCAGCCCGCTGCCAACCTGGGAGCCTGTGCAGAACCCGGCCAATCAGAGAAGGGCAGAAAGGCAGCCAATCAGGGCCAGGCTGGGCCCTATATAAAGGCTGCAAAGCAGAGGAGACGGGGAGTCTCTCCCTGACAAGCAAGGGAGGAGGGGGACTGGCCCCCAGGGATAGCACCTGAGATAGCGCAGCGCTGGGCAGGCTCAGGGGAGCGGAGGGAAAACTCCAGGCTGAGGCCCCTGGAAGGAAGGGCCGAGAAGGTCCCAGGGGAAGTGGCCCAGGGAGCGTGAGCAGTAGAGGGGAGAGAAGCAGGGCAGGACATGGCTGCTGCCAGAGGGTCCCTGGGCCGGGACCCAGAGTAGTGGATGGGCCTGCCCCCCCCTTACACTGCCCCTGGCCGTGGAGGAGCCTGGCCCGATGCAGACT